CGTATTATTCCTCGTGGATGCGTTGCGATGCACCAGTCATCCTGAGAGAGAACAGGTTCTTTTTTTACTAAGAAGTTCATCAAACCTTCCACTATTTTTGGAAATTCTAGAGGGGGCGATGCCTGTATTCAGAGTGATAGAGGGAGCACGCATTCGCCTTTCTAGGCCCGACATACTGTACCGCTCTGTGAGAGCGAGGCGGCAGACACGTGAACCCCCACACACGTGTCCGTATGCTGAGGATTGTAAACCATCTTGCAGCTCTCTGACTCCTGCAGAATTCTCCAGATCGCATCCCAGGAAAGTCCATGGAGATAAGCTCAGCTCTTTCTTGGGGAAAATTATTTTTTTAGAAAATTTAGAGATTAGCTTTTGTTGGGTCAAATAAAGTGTCCCCAGTTTTAATGATTGGATAAAGTCGAAATGCCATTTCTCAATCTCACCGGTCTCCAATTCACTGATAGAATTTTTCTTAAACTTCTAAGTGGGGTAACCTTGTAAGTCGGTGTCCACTGGCCGCTCCTGAACTGATGATGTCCAGTCATGTCCTCCACGTGTCATTTTTATAAATGAAAGGTAGCATTGTATATGAAAGGTCAAATAAAGATGTTCTTTATGTGAAACGTTTTTGTTTAACCTTCGTTCATACCCACTGTGACAACACAGTTCAATCTTCCTATTTATAGAAAAAATTTGTCTTTTACAGTAACTGGTAGTCTTTGGTCTCCCATGTTCAGAGTATTTCATTCAGTTCCCCCCATCTCAATTCCTTGATGTTATAGAAAGATGACATTGCTTAACAAGTAATGTTATTCCATCTGATTTTTAGAAAGCAAACTATAGAGCAGTGTGACACTTACAGTACTACTGTGCCTGTCACCTCCAAGACCTAGTATATAGTCCAACCTCTGAGGTCATCAAGCTTAAAGATACCTCAATCACTGAATCTCATTCTGTCACATTAAAATCTGACCTGATCCCGCTCAAGTGATTCTTGGGCAAAAATAGGCCTAAGGGGCTTGAGGAATAGGATCAGCCAGACAATAGACAGTGGTCGAATCGAAACTGTGAAAGGATAGGATATTTAAAATCCTGTACCGATGGAGCACCAACTGAGGTAGTGGTAGACCCTTCTGAAATAACAGCCAGTTTTCATCTTGAAGTCTAATTCTTCCTGGCTCAGTGGGTATCAACGTGGTCAAAATTTTAAACCAGGAAATTTTACGCTGTGGACATGTCGAATTAATTGTGGACTTACCTTTTCAGAAGCAACGAAAACAGGACCAGATAAAAGACTAAGGATCTCTGAGTGACAATAATTTGATAAAATCTGGGCCTCTTTATGTCTGCCAGGTACCCGAAATTTTTATCATTATTTTGTTGGGTTACAACATGCAAATAGCATTCATGTTAAGAGTATGGGTTCATCAGAGAGAGAGGGTAGACTAGTGATGGCCGAGAGCTGGGGGGCGCAGGCGATGGGGAGATGTTGGTCAAAGGACATGAACTTCCATATATAAATTCTGGGATGCAATGTACAGCACAGCGACTGTACTTAACAATACTGTACTGTATACTTGAAGGTTACTGATAGATTAGGTCTCACATGTCCTCACCACACACACAGAGAAGGAACGCTGAGGGGATGGGTGTGTTAACGGACCTTTTTGTGGTAATCACTGCACAATACATACGTATATCAAACCCTATATACCTTAAGTTTATACGTGTTTTGCCAATTATATATCAGAACTTTTTAAGAGTATAGGTTCATATGTTAATA